CCACAGAGGCGACCGAGAGCCACAGAGGCGAACCGAGAGCCACAGAGGCGAACCGAGCCACAGGGGAACGAGAGCCACAGCGAACCGAGAGCCACAAGGCGAACGAGGCCGCAGAGAGGCGAACGAGAGCACAGAGGCGAAAGAGAGCCACAGAGGCGAACCGAGAGCCACAGAGGCGAACCGAGAGCCACAGAGGCGTCGAGAGGAGGCGAGAGGCGAGCGAGGAGGAGCCGAGAGCCACATAGGCGCTGATCGTTTGCTTGGGAGATTGGGGTCGTTGCGGGTCGGGTGTGAATTTTTTTTTTTTTTTCTTTCTTTCTTTTCTTTCTTTTTCTTTTGTCTGCGTTTTGTTTGTTTTTTTCTTGTTTCTATGTTTGTTTGTTGTTTGTTTGTTTTTTTTTCTTTTTTTTTGTCTTTTTTCTTTTTGTTTCTTTTCTATTCTTTTTCTTTCTTTACTTTCTCTCTTCCGTTACTCTTTCTTTTCTTTTTTTTTTTTTTTTTTCTTTCCTATTTCTTTGGGTTCGCTCCGGATCGGATGTGATTTTTTTCTAGACTTCTGAGTTTTTGTCTTTTTTTCTTTTCTTTTTTTCTCCTATTTCTTTTTTTTTACTTTTCATTGCCTTACTTTCTTTTTTATTATTTTCTCTTACCTTTTCTTTTTTTTTATTTTCCTCTTCTATTTTTACTTTTATTTTTTTTTCTTTCCTTTTACTATTTTTTTCTCTTTCTTTCCCTTTTTATTCTATTTTTTATGTATCTTTATTACCTTTGGCTGATGTGTGTGGGTGAACCGCTACCGGAGCTAAGATAATAGGTCTTCATTTTATTGCGCGCATAATGGTTCTTGACATTAATACCAGTTACAAAAAAAAAAAAAAATATATATATAAAAACAAAAAGGGGGGAGAGGGGGAAGGGAGGAAGGGGGGAAGGGAGGGAAGGGGGGGGGGGGAAGGAGGAGAAGGGGGAGAGGGGAAGGGGGAGGAAGGGGGAAAGGGGGGGGCAATGAGGAAATGGGGAGGAGTCTGTTCGGCCCGTTTCAAGCAACCATATATCTTCTCATTCCCTTTCTTATCTTCTTGTTTCTGTTCCTTTCGCTTTCCTCTCTTTATCTTCTTTCTGTCCTTTTTCTGTTCTTTTCTCATTCTCTTCTTTCTTAACTCTTCCTGTTCCTATTCTTCATTTTTCTCCCTCTCTTTCCTATCCTTCTTCTTCACTAGGCTCCTCTCCTATCCTCCTCCTCTTCTTTCTTATACGGTCCTCCACCTTTATTCCTCTCTCTTCTATTCCCTTTCTCATTGACTTCTTTATCCACTTCCATGCTCCCTTCCCACCCCCCATCCTCCCCTATTCTTCTCCCTTTCCTTATCCATTCTCTTCCTCCTTCCTATCCCCTACCTATCCCACTCTGTTCTTTCCTATCCCTCCTCTTCCTCCTCCTCCACTTCTTACCTATTCTCTTCCTGTCTTCCTCCCTTCCTCCATCCTCTTCCCTACACATCCTGCTCTTCTTCCTCCCTTTCTATCCTCCTTTCCCTCCACCTCTTCCTTCCCTCCTTATCATCATCCTCCTCTTCCCCCTCCACCCCTACTCTTGGCATCCCTCCTCCTCTTCCTTTTCTCCTCCTCCTTCTCCTCCACCCTTCCTCCTCCAACCCTCCTCCTCCACCCCCTCCTCCTCCACCCTTCCTCCTCCTACTGCTCTTCCTCCACCCATCCACCCCTCCTCCTCTTCCTCCTCCTCCTCTTCCCCCTCCACCCCTCCTCCTGGCATCCCTCCCCCTTCTTCCTCTACCCCTCCTCCTCCTTCTCCTCCCCCTCCCTCCTTCTATCCTCCTCCCCCCTTCACCCTCCTCCTCTTATCCATCTTGAAGAAGATTGCACCTTACACGACACATATTATATTTGTATATTGCTTCCTTCACCTTCCTTGTTCACGTGTAAACAAGCGGAGAGAGAGGGAGGTGGGAGGAGGAGGTAGGGAGAAGGAGGAGAGGGGGGATGGGGAGCGGGAAAAAGGAGGAAAGGGGAAGGACGGAGGGAGGGGGGAGGAGGAGGATGGAAAGCGGAGGGAGAGGAAGGAGGGAGAGGAGAAGGAGGCGGGGAGAGGGAGAGAGAGAGAGAGAGAGAGAGAGAGAGAGAGAGAGAGAGAGAGAGAGAAGAGAGAGAACGGAGAAGATGAGAGAGAGAGAAGAAGAGAGTGAGTAAGAGACGAGAGAGAGAAGTGTGTAAGAGAGAGAGAGGAATGAGAATCGAGGGGTATGATAAGGAGAAGCGGAGAAAGGGAAAATTGATAAACAGAAACGTCCAGACACAGAATAAAGTCAGAGACAAATAGAAAGAGACTAACGGACAAATAAACAAGTAAGAGAGAAAGAGATAAGAAAAAGAAAACGAATCAGAGAGACATAAACCTTCCAGAACAAAATCTAAATAGTAGAAAGAAAAAAAGGAGAAAAGAGAGAAAGAATAAAAGAAAAAGAAGCGAAACAGACCGAAAAAATAGAAAAAGAAAAATCTGAATCCAGTCCGTTCGTCTGAGCACTCTTTCCGCCTCGCATTCCGCGCCCAAAACCTAGACGAACGGATTACACGAACGCAAGCCCAGAATTGGTGATAAACATTGCCCTGTTTTGCCGCGTTCGACCCCCGGCTAATGCTAAAAATTATGCGCACGAACACGCGATATTGGCGTGGGTCGAGGGGTGGGGGAGGGGTAGTGGGAGGAAGAAAGGAGGAAAGGGGGAAGGGAGGAGGAAAGGGGAAGGGAGGAGGAAAAGGAGGAAAGAGGAGGTGGTAGTGGGAGGAAGAAGGGAGGAAAGCGGAAAGGAGGAGGAAAGGGGAGGAAGAAGTGAGGAAAGGGAGGTGGCAGCGAGAGGAAGAGGGGGGGGGGTAGGGGAGGAAGAAGAGAGAAAGGGAGGGGGTAGTAGAGGAATAAGCAAGGGGAAGGAGGAGGAGCGAGGGAGGGGGTAAGGGAAAGAGGAAGGATAACTATTTAACTCCACATAACTGAGACCGGATATCGTGCTCCATAAATCATCGATCTTTATGGCAGAGACTAAATCTAGCTAGATTTCCCCCCCTCCCCCGTCCATCTCCCCCCTCCCCTCACACCCACCCCTCACACCTCACCCACTCACCCCTCCACCCCTCACCCATCCCCTCTACCCCCTCCTCCCCTCCACCTCCCTCCTCCTTCTCCCTCCTCCTTCTCCTCCTCCCTCCCCCCACTCCCCCCCCTCCCCCGATGCGTACGAACACCGAAGCGTACGAATCGAGCAAAACCGACGCGACAGGGACCTGGTTGGAGATTATTCTTATCTTTCGATGCGAAGAGTTGTGCTTCATGTGGCTCCTTGTTAAGTGCACGTAATGATTTTGATGCGAGAGTTGTGCTTCGTGTGGCTCCTTATTAAGTGCACGTAATGATTGCGATGCGAGAGTTGTGCTTCGTGTGTCTCCTTAAATGCACGTAATGAAAATTGAGTTGGTATCTGGCCTGGGAATCGACGGAGCACAAAATCCAGTCTCTCTTGTGTAGTGAACGGGCGCGGCCATGTTGGATGCGAGATTTAAATTCAATTCTCATTATGTGGGATTTAATAGTTACATAAAGTACAATTCTTGTTTTAGATAAGAACATCGAAAAAGTGTTCGTATATATATAAGTATATAAGTATATATATATAATATATATTATATATATATATATATATATATATATATATATATATATATATATATAATATATATATGTATGTATATATATGTATGTATGTATGTGTGTGTATATGTATATAGATAGAAGATAGATAGACAGATAGATAGATAAATAGACAGATAGATAGATAGATAGATAGATATAGATAGATAGATATAGATAGATAGATAGATAGATACAAATATATATATGCATATATATTTCTATTTTCATACACGGTTAATGTGTAAAAGATATAAATTTGTGATTTGTTTTATTCATTAAAAAAGTGATTAGTTACCTAAGTAGCTTAAGTCTGCATTTCTTGTTGCAATGGCATGCAATGACAATAAAGAAATATATAAGTAAATAATAAAGAAGTAAAAGGTTAAATCTCATAGTGTCTCATAGTTTTTTTCTTACCTATAAAAAGATAACTATTTATTCCGTTTTTAAAGAAGAAATTGAAATAATTAGCATTCTTATATATATATATATATATATATATATATATATATATATATATATATATATATATTATATATATATATATATATATATATATTATATATATATATATATATTATATAATATATATATATAATATATATATATATAATATATATTATTGCTGCTTCCCCTCTAGCTGCGCTCCTAGTAACCGGGCTTCCGGTGCGAATCATTTCCAAACTTAATCTGCAATGAAATCCATGTGTCGAAGCCTTTTTTACAGCCGGATGCCCTTCCAGCTGCCAAACCTTCCTCTTAATTCCCTTTAAATGTGAAAGGTGCAAGAGTGTGTGTGTGTATATATTTTTATTCACTTTCTCTCTTTCTCGTTCTCTCTCTCTGTCTCTGTCTCTCTCTCTCTCTCTCTCTCTCTCTCTCTCTCTTTCTTTTTCTTTCTTTCTTTATCTTTCTTTCTTTCTTTCTTTCTTTCTCTCTCTCTCTCTCTCTCTCTCTCTCTCTCTCTCTCTCTCCCATAAACCAATTATCTATTACTAATCATCTGTTTTTTTGTTTTTATCAATTCCCATTCTTTTCCTTTATCCATTTATTCATCCATCCACTTATCATAAACCAATTATCTATTACTAATCCTTTTTTTTCCATTTCCTATTCTTTTTCTTTTATCCATTTTCATCCACCTACTTATCTACCTCCCTTTGCCTCCCGCGCAGAGAAGAACGGCGACGGATCGAGCGACGGCGAGGCGGGCGGGGGCGGCAGCGTGGGCGGCGACGTGAAGGAGGCGGAGGACACGGAGGATCGCGGGCGGCGAGGGAGCGTCATATCCCGGATGAACGGCGTGACGGTGGGCGGGGTGGGGCGGGTGGTGGGGACGGTGGTGCTGCTGGTGGGCGCGGTGTGGGCGAGGCACTACTGCATCGTGGTCCGGCGGAGGAAAATGCGGAGGAACGCCAGCGACGAGGCCAACCCCGACGTGGTGCCCAGCGTGGGTGAGTGTGGGGGTGGGGTGGGGTGGGGTTGGGGGGGGGTGGGGTGGGTGAAGGAGGAGGATGGGGGTGGGTGTGGGGGTTAGGTGTGGGTGGGGGTGGGGTGGGGGGTGGTGAAGGAGGGAGAGGGGGGGAGGGGAGGAGGAATGGGGGTTGAAGAGGGGGGAGGTGGGGTGAAGATATCATGGGCATCATCGTCATCATCATAATCATATCATCGTCATCATCATCATTGTAATCATATCATCATCATCGTCATCATCATCATCATCGTCATCATCATAATCATCATCGTCATCATCATCGTCATCGTCATTCTCAGCATTGATCACAAGAATCATCATTGGTATTAATGCTATTTGATAATAATCATGATGATAATTATCATAAAAGTACAGTAATAATGAAAATTATTATGATGATATTGATGATACTGATAATAATAATGATACTAAAAATAATACTAACGATAATGATGATAGCGATATTAATGACTATGATATCAATGATAATAAAGATGAGAGTAATGATGATAGTTATATGATGATGATAATGAAAATGATTATGAGAATGATGATGATAATAACTATGATAATTTATAACAATACTGAAAATGAAAATTATTTTGATAATGACAATAATAATGATGTTTATGATAGTAATGATAATAACAGCAATAGCAGTGATAATGATGATCATGAGGAAGATAATAATTCGATGATGAAATAATGATAGAGATAATAATGATAATGATAATAACAATAAAAATGATAATAACAATGGAAATAATTAAAATAGCGATAATGATGATAATGGTAATAATAATGATGATAATATTAATAATAGAAGTAATAGTTATAATAATAATAATAATGATAATGATAATAATGATAATAACTGTAACAACAACAACAATAAACCACAACATAATAATGATAGTGATGAAAACAGAAATAATAACAACACCAACAAAAACGATAACACCACCAAACAACAACACCCAGAAAGCCAATAAGGATAATGACGATAAATAGAAAAATCTGCGGCGCCGACCCCCCCCCTCCCACCCCCACCATAAAAAAAAAAAAAAAAAAAAAAGGAAAATAGCTTCAAACAAGAAACAACTTTAGCGGGAGAAAATAATGATTGAGGAAATGATGCGCACCAGTGGACACGCATCACCCTCTCCCTCCCCTCCCTCCCCCTCCCCTGCCCCTGCCCTTGCTCCTCACCCCCACCCCCCCCACCCCCTTCCCCGCCTGAGAGCTCCTTCCATCTTGGGGGAAAAGATAGGATGATAAAGGAGAGAACAAAAGGAAATGAGGATAATTATGATGATAATGATAATAATGATAATGATCATAATAGATAATAATGATAATTGTAATGGTATGTTAATGATAGTGATATATAATGGCTGACATCCCAACTATAATAATTATTATTAGCCTCGTTATTAGTATTGTTATTATTGTCATCCTTTTTATCATTCTTAATATCATCTTTATCATCACCATTGACACCATCATCATCATCATCATCATCATCATCACATCACCATCACCACCATCACACTCCTATACACCCCACATATACCCCTTTTACCATCATCACAACCACCACCCTTGCCACACACACGATAATAACATAACCATAAAAAAAAATACAACCAATAGAATGAACAAGAGAGGTTCACCCCCCCCAAAAAAAAAAATACAACCAATAGAATGAACAGGAGAGGTTCAACCCCCCCCCAAAAAAAAAAAAAATACAACCAATGGAATGAACAAGAGATTTTCACCCCCCCCCAAAAAAAAATAAATAATAATAATAATATAATAATAATAAAAAAATAATAATAAAATAATAATAATAAAAATAATAAAATAATAATAAAATCCTTTGTCTCCTTCAGGCACGTCGTATGACCATCCTAGCGGGCCCGGCGAGGCTTCCCGACATCGCTTCTGGACTAAGGGTGAGTCTCTGTCGTGGGAGAGGCTGAAAGAGTGAGTGAAGGGGGAGGGCGAGAGGGTGACACGATAAGGGATGATAAGGGATGTATGATAAGTTTCGTGTCTGTGAGTGGGGCGGTGGGAAGTGGTTTTGTCTGTGGGTGTGTGCGTGTGAGAAATTTTTTTTTTATTATTTATTTTATTTTGTTTATTTTGTTTATTTGTTTTTTATCTATTTTCTTCATTGTCTTGCTTCTTTGATTTGTTTTGTTTTGTTGGTGTGTGTGTAGAATCATTCAATTTGTGGATTTTGTAGTTTGTTTTTTGTGGGGCTTATATACTACAGAAAGATGGTTTGTGCGTGTGGTTTGTGCGTATAAATCACAGGAGATGGTTTGTGCGTATAAACCACAGAAGATGGTTTGTGGTAGTCTGTGTGTGGACTAAATCACAGGAGAGTTTGTTCTGCACAGCGCAGACGAGAGATATTTTGTCAAAAGAACATGTTCACAGTAGTAATTCTACTATGAATAATATTGGCAATGTTCTTTTACGAGACTTTGACCTTAGTGATATCTTAACATTGTATTTGTTTCACTCTGTTAGATACTGTTAATAGAATGACAGTGTTGTGAGAAGGAAGTAATAGATTCACAGTTCTCAACCCTTTGATCCTGCAGAACTATAAATTGCAGTTTTCCATTCTGTTCCTCTACGTTTCGTCGAAATGATATATGTTCTTTCCAGATGAACAAATAAAGTTAAATTCAAGTGACAAATCAGACAACATATATGTTTGTGATTAACAAAAAGGGTTATTGTTTATGAAAAGAAAAATCAAGGGAGACCTTTAGACCTTTGAAGATATATTCCTAGTCATGGATACTCATGAAACTCCATTTACAACATAGGTGGTATCTTTACAATTCTGATTATTGTATATATTAGGGTTATATAGAGCCATTAGAGCCGAGAATGTAGAAAGGTATGAAGGAGAATGAATATTTTCACAATACGAGAGATGTATTTGACCGGTTTCGAATATATCTCCGTCAAACCGGTCAAATAAATCTCTTGTATTGTGAAGATATTCATTCTCATTCATACCTTTCTACATTTGTCAACATGAATACAGTTCAATAGAGAAGGAAAGGTTAATGAAAACCTGTGTAATATTGGTATTAAAAGGAGAAATAAAGAAATATTATATGTGATGATGATAATGGTGATGATGATGATGATGATAATGATAATGATGGTGATGATGATAATGGAATGAATAATGATAAGATATATAGTATCCTATGATTTATAATATTAGTAAATGAAAAGCATCAATGTCTTTCCTTTCCAAGACAACGCATGGAACCAAATAATTATTTTGTGTTGTTTTTCAGTTGTTTTTGCCTTGATGCTGTTTTTGTGTGTACATTTAAACATGTTATTTTAGTTATAACCAGACTCCATGTATTTGGTTAAGTAAATTATATTTTTAATATGCACATTTTATTTTGATGTTACCACTGCATGTATTTAGGCATGAATGTTTTGTTTATTTTACTCATTTCATATGTTTTGTATTTATTTTTGCACGATGACTGTAAAGTATAATGTAGAATAAAGCACTGCATTTCAAGAGATTCTTATTTTAACCTGATAAGTGAAACATTATCATGGTAAGCTTTTTGATTTTTGAAAATTCGTCAGACCCTGTGACTATTCATAATCCTTAGAAAAAAAGAATTGTGATTTATCTGTATGTATATACACGGATATATACAACTATGCACACATATATATACATATATGTGTGTATATGCATATGCATGTGTTGTAAATATAAATATGTATGTGTTATAAATATATATATATATATATATATTATATATATATATATATATAATATATATATTGTGGCTATATATAATATATATATATATATATATAATATATATATATATATATATATATATAATATAATATACAGAGAGAGAGAGAGAGAGAGAGAGATGTGAATAATAATTAAGTGTGTGTGTGTGTGTAGTGTATATATATCATATATCTATATATATATTTATTAAATATATAATATATATAAATATATATAATTAATTATAGTGATGATATGGTGTATGTATAGTGGTAGTAGTATATTGAGTAAGTTAGGTGCGAGTATAGTTTATATGTTGTGTTGTGTGTGGTGTGTGTGTGGTGATTATCAGTTTATTTATTATACACTAAAATCACTATGTCGGGATGTCCCGTATATATATATATACATACGTACTATGTAGCTAGCGGCACCTCTGTATCACTCGGTTAGTGAGCATTATACTGTAGTGCCTAATATATATATACTACTGACGGCTTTCTGGGGTGAGCAAGATACAGTACCGCCTAATTCTACTATGTGAGAGCGGCTGCAGTATTATGGCATCATAGATGCTATAACCTGATACCTTACTGTTTGTCAGTAATACCATATATATATATATACCACCATATATAGTAGTAGTAACTTATACCTTGCGTCCATTGTTCTAGTACTGTATCTAGGGCATAATAGTATAGCTTACTATATAGGGCAACACTATAGTACTCATACTACAATACATATATAATTATATATTATATTAATAAAAGTAAAGTATATTTTAAATATTACCTATTATAATATATATACATATGATTTAGTAGCCCTACATATCTATCACACAAGCACACCCTAGCAGAGGAATCATGTGACTATCGAAACTTGAGCAAATAAAGTAAAGGAAGAAGCGAAAGTTAGACACAGGTGAGTCAAACAAGAAACTTCGAGAGGCTTATATTTCGCTTCGTGTCTCAGGACAGCATTGCGAACGAGGAGCCTGATAGGGATATTTACGTCTGTTTATTTGGTGCGGCTCTTAAAGGGTATATGATGTGGGGGTGGGTGCGTGGGGGGCGGCGTGTGTGTGTGGGTGTGTGCTCGTGTGGGTGTTGTGTGTGGTGGGTGTGGGTGTGTGTGTGTGTGTTTTATGTGTGGCGGTCGCTCGCTGCTGTGTTCAGAGTGCGTGGGTTTGTACGTATTCGGTGCGTGCGTAGTCATTGTCGGCCTGTGCGTGTGTTTACATCACTGTTTACGCTCATTTACTCATACAACTTTAGCCTATGGACCAATACGTCGCCAAAATATTTACTCTCCTTATAGGGCATAATCAGAGATCCGCCGTTACCTGTGGCAAAGAGCACCGTTACCCCTCTGAATCCTGCAAACCCGTAGAGCCATGTATTGCAAACATCACATTACTCCTCCGTGCCTGTAAAGGCTCACTCTCAGCACATTTCGTGGCTATCGCGGAGAAACAGGACGAGATACGCACAGGCCGATCTTCCGAGCATGCTATGAATGCTATAATGGATTATGCTTTAGAGAGTAAAGAATAACCCCTCCCCCACCCGTGCGTTCCATCGAGCTGTGGCACGCCGTCGGCAACCTCTTTTTTTCGCGTGTGGAAATGAGAGAATATGGCGTCGATTCGCATTGGATTTCCGCGATAATCTCTAGTCCGGCGAGGATTCCCGGGCTTTTTTTTTTGGATAAGCCGGAATATTGAGGTTGTGTGAGGGAGTTTGTATTACGGAGCCTTCGTTAATCCGGCTCGGGCCTCATTTCGGGTCTGATTGCGCTTATTATTGTTCGCGCTTTCTACATCTCGTTCCCACAGATGCGCATTTCGTTTTAAGCCAGAGCTATGAACTGGTATTACTATTGTTTATATTAAGCAACTTGTTCATCATTTTATTTTCTCTCTATTTCACTCTCTCTTTCTCATCTCCGTCTGCTCCTTGTGTTCGGCTCCCTCACCAATCTCCACTCACTCCTCTCTCTGCTGGCTTTCCACCTTTCATCAACATCACTCTCAACACTCTAGGTGCGTATGCTATTCTCACTTGCTGTTCTTGCCTCTCTAACTCTCTCTACCTTGTTCTGCGTTCCTCTACTCTCCTCTGCGTTCACAACATTTCACTCTCGGGCGAACTCATTCTTTCAGTCTCTCTCTGGTGTATCTCAGTCGTCGTCTAACTCGAATCTTGTTAGATCATTTCCTATTTGTTTCTCACTACTCCTCATCTTTCACTTCTCCATTACTCTCTCGTCTCTTTCTCTCTCTCTTCCTTCTTTCCCTTTTTTTTCCCTGCTCCCCACCTTCTCTTCCTCTTCTCTTTCTCCTCTCACTCTGGGTCCAATGCCTTATTCCCACACTCATCCATTCTCTCTCTCTCATTACTCTTCTAATTATCCACTTCTCTCTCATCCCTCTCTCCTCCCTTTCTCATCTTGATGCCTTTCTCTCTACTTCACGACTCATTCCCTGCAACTCCTCGTTACTCCGGGTGTATATGGTCTTAGTCCGACTTTCATGATCACCTGTGCGGCATTATGAAAGCAGACCCGGATGCCATCCTCCCAAAACATATTTAAATTAAAGAAGTGAAATCAAAACCTAGGGTTAATTATTTGGGATTATTGTAGATTAATTCACAAGTACTTCATGTTTAATCAAGAGGTCTTTGTTAATTTGTAATGTGTTTCGAAATTAATGGAGGGAACCTAGCAAGCATACTTCTGTATAATCTATATCTAGTACTATTCATAAATCTGACGGTCTATCTAATAATTCTATATTCAGGTACTAATCTGATCACTATCATTGTTATTATATTCTATACTTATATACATTATTTATAATTTATAAGATATAATAGGATTTAATATAGATAATAATAAACTATATACACTCACTCTCACTCTACATACATATACCACATATAATAAGAGTATATGTTAGTATGCACGCTATGTGTGATATTTGATTTCGATAATGCTGTGGCTGTGTGGCTATTGTGTGTGTGTGTTAGTATGTGTGTGTGTGTGTGTGTGTGTGAAAGTGGTGTGCAATACTATATTAATTATACTTATTTAACTGTAATAATAACAATATATAAAAAAACATAATCATATACCCCACCAAGATAA